GGACCTAGCGGTTGGGGGCGGGGCCCGGCCGGTGGAGTGAGGCCCAGATTGCTCCAGGGGGCGGGACCCAGAGAGGAAGCGAGCCCCAGGATTGGGTGATATGGGGGCCCGGCGGTGGAGTGTAGCAGGGGATTGGCCCTCGGGGCGGGCCCTGGAGACTGGAGTTGGCCCCGCGCAGGGACCACGGATAGGTGAGGCAGTTCGTCAGGGAAACCGGACCCGCCTCAGCCGGGAGCAGGTAGGGAACTGAGGAGAACAGGCAGCCCCCCTCCCCAGGACTCCCCACTAGACGCCCTCCCGCCTCTCTCTGCTCACACCCGCCCCTCATCCTGTCTCTCTGAGCACATCCGCTGTGTGGGGTGATGTCCAGGCAGGCCGCCCCAACCTCACCTGCCTCCTCGTCCCCCACCCCCAGGACAGCGAGGAGCTCAGCAGCCTGGGTCAGACTGAGGAAGTCTGAGGGTCCGCGGAGCCTAGAGCTTCGGCCATGCCCCTAGCAGGCATCCCGCTCGCGGTCCTTGGAGGTGCACATCCATGGCTGTGGCTTCATGGCCTAGACCTCCAATTCCCATGAGCCCTACCTCAAGAGCTGGTATCCTCTCCATCCACTACTCTCTGGCCCCCGAGGCCCCCTTCCGCCATCTGCTGGAGGAGTGCTTCTATGCATACTGCTGGGCCTTCCAGCACTGCACCCTTCTTGGTGAACGCCAGCCCCTCACTGAAACCCGCTCTGGCTTGCTGCCCCAGCCTGCTTAAGCCCCTACCCCATCAGGCAGGGGGAATGAGCTATCTAGTGGCTAAAGCCTCAGCCTTGCACCCCAGCCTCCCCTTCCATTTCCTACCACCCAGCCCTCTGCCATCTATTTGCCCCCCACCCCCCACCTCAGCGCTTTCCCCCACTGCCCCACTGCTCACCCAACCTTCCATCTCAACCACTTCCTCCTCTGCCTCCTGCTCCCCCACTCCAGCCCTGATGCTCCATCCCCTCCACCTCTCCATCTCCTCTGACCTTGTCTGTCCTCCTCCTGTTTCTCCATCCCTGCTGTCTGCACTGGCCCAGCTCCAGCCCATTCTTCTAGCTCCTCTGACCTCTGACTCCCGACATCTTGGGAGGCACAGAGCAGGGTGGGGCCACACCCCAGGGCACAGGGCCTGTGGCCCTTCAGTGCTGTCAGCCTGAATCCTGGCCTGCCATCTCCTGGCCTCAGATGCCTGGCCTTCTGAAATGGCTCTTAGTCTCTCCTTTCCCACCACCCATCCTCCTTGCTTCTGACTTCCAGCCTCCCAAGCTTCCCCAGAGCTTCCCGATCTCCAGGCCTCTCCCTGTCCTAAGTCAGCCTGATCCTCCGACCACTGTCCTCCAGATGGGTCCAAATCCTTCCCTCGGTTTACCCAGTCTCTAAAATTGGAGTTGGCTAGACCTTGGGGTTGGGGCCCCACACCCCACCTCTGAGATCCCAGGGCTCCTGGCCCAGAGTTCCAGTTCCTCCCTGCCAGGTGTGGGCCCCTCCAAACCAGGCCCACTAGGTTAGGGAATATGCCTCACCGGGGACAGTGCAGGAGGGAACCTCTGCTTCACCATGTGCCTATGGGCTGTGGGTGCCATATGGCATCACGGCAACCTACTCTGCTACAATGCTGTGGTCTACCACATCTCCCTCCCAACTTCTGAGACTCATGGACCCCCTGCTGCCCCTCAGCGTACTCTACAAATGTGTCAGTGCCTGTGGTGGTAAGGCCCACACCCACAGAGCTGGGGGCCTGGCGGTGCTTGGATGCCTGGGTCCAGCAGGGACAGGGGCTACAGCCCAGTCTCCTGGGTCTGAGGGAGGAGGGGCTGAGGAGAGGAATCTGAGACTCCTTGTTCCTACTGAACTGAGCAGATATTCTTTGGTCCCTGGGGGCACAGATGCTTGATGTTCTGGGCGTTGAGAAGGGCCCCAGAAAGAAAAGAGACCAATTCAGCCCCCCACATACACTCCACAGGTGGGAAGACAGAGGACCACTCTGACTTGAACCAGAAGGCACAGGGCATGATGGGGCTGGTGCGGCGGACACAGCTCTGCTCTTCCGAGACTTGAACCTGGGCACCTCCTCATGGCTCAACTCTTTCCGGGAGCTGGGAAGGCACAGGTCTCACAGGAGCTCAATGCTCATGGCAGGTAAGTGAAGCACTCCCCTCATGTACCCATCCAGACTGACCAGGAGGGACAGCCTGGCACACCAGAAGTCCTTGGGGGAGAATAGGAGCCGTGGCTGGGGCACTCAGGGAAGCAGAGATCACCTACCGGGCTCTACCCTATATCTATCCCTGGTTCCTACCACAAAGCCTCGATTTGCCACCCTGTCCACACCTGGAAACCTCAGGACTTCTGGTGCCCCAGGTCATCTCGGAGTCCAAGAAACTATAGGATTTAGCTTTCCAAACAGCCTCTCCCAGAAAGGCAAACTGGGAAATGACTAAGAAGGCCTGCCACATATCTGAATTTTCAGTCCCCAAAGCACCACTCAAATCCCTCGGGCCCTCAGGTGGGAGTCCAGCCCTCCTAGATTATTTCCAGACTTTTAACAGACATGTGGGGGTAATACACCCCTCCAGGGACTGGCCTAGGAGCCTGCAATGGGGAGATCAGCAGACTGGACAGACCTCAGGAAATGGATGAGATTTCCAGCCTTGGGGGGGGTGGCAGGACCCTCAGGCAGCTGAAAATCACACTCCTCCAGGGATATATTTTTTCCCACCATTTTTTAACATTTTAGGAATTTTAAAGTGCAACCAACTCATTTTCTATCTCTAGCAAATCAACACTATTTGCTGAGTAATAGGAATTGTATGTTCAAAACTGGATGCAGTTCCTATGATTCAGAAAATTATTCCAATTTGATATGTTTTATTTTAAATTAAGTTTTTCATTTTAGGTTATTTAAATGGATGCAAATAAATACGCACTGACACAATTAAAAAAGATTTGAATTTTAGGCATGTGAAACATTGAGCTCTGGGGTTTTCCTTGTAGGATGAGGTGACAAATGAGCCCCTAAAAGCACACACGTCAGTCTACCTCCTTATGGTACCAGGTACTCACTGGTTGCTGGGTGACATGGGCAAATAACAGTATCTGTGAGCCTTCCTTTGCTCCTCTGTGAAATAAGTACAATAAGGGTACCTGCCTCTTAAGGCTGTTGTAAGGACCGCATGCACCTCTTTGGGTCAAGCACCCAGCACAATACCTGGCACAAAGCAGGTGCTCTTGGAAGATGCCAGCACCCCTGGCAGGCTGTGCCCTGTGACTCTAGTCAACAATTCTGTCCCAGTGACCCTCTGGGTCATGGTGCACTTCTGCAGTTCTTCTCATATCACCTTGCATTTTGTCTTCATGGATTTATAAAGACAAGTGAGAAAACTGAAAAAGGTAGGGTCCTGGCGCTAGTGGTAAACAGCAGGGGTCTGAAAAAGTTAATTTATATCCCAACCGGAGCAAGAAGAACAGCTTTGCAGTATGGAAAGATGCGTGGCCAGGTGAGAACCTGCAGCTGAGAGTTCTGACAGTTAACACTTAAGTTCATCACTGTGCAAGGTGGGAGCCACTGCCCACACGTGGCTGCTGAGCGCTTAAAATGGGGCAAGTCCAAGTTGACATGTGCTGAAGTGTAAAACACACACTGGATTTCAAAGACTTAGAATGAAAAGAGGAGTGCAAAATATCTCATTAATAATTTTATATTGGTTACATATTGAAATGACAATATTTTGGATTAAGTAAAATAAAATTCATTTGTTTGTTTTTACTTTTAAAGTGTATTCTATTAGTTTTCTGCAGCTGCCATTACAAAGTCCTACAAACTGGGTGGCTTAGAACAAACAGGAATTTATTGTCTTACAGTCCTGGAGGCTGGATGTCTGAGATCAAGGTCTCATCAGGGACGGTTGTGAGGAAACATCTGTCCCAGGCCTCTCTCCTGGCTTCTGTGGTGTTCCCTGGTTTCTGGCCTCGTGACTCCAATCTTCACATGGCATTCTCCCTGGGTCTCTGTCTCTGTGTCCCAATTTCCCCTTTGTATGAGGACAGTAGTCATATTGGTTAGGGCCTCCTAGTGACATCATCTTAACCAATCACATCTGCAATGACTCTATTTCCAAATAATATCACTTTCTGAGGTACTGGGGTTAGGGCTACAATATAGGAATTTGGGGAGGGAGGGACACAATTCAACCCATAACATAGCTACTAGGAAACTTAAAATTGCACATACAACTTCCTTTATATTTTGAGCGGACAGAGCTGGCCTATGTGATCAGTGAAACAGCGATGCCTGTTGACCTGGACTGGCTGAGGCTGTTGGGAAGTGCATATTCATGCATTCCATGGGCACTTATGAGGATTTATTACCTGATTCAGCACTAGAGGTCGAGCATGGGATACTTAACCGAAACCTCGCTCCCCCTCCAGGCACTTGCAGTTGACTGAGGGAGGCAGAAAACAGTCAATAACCACACAAATATTTAGTAGCAAAGTGCAGACAAATGATCCACAATCACTTGTCTGTGACAGACAAGTACAGGTGTGACAGTGTGGAACTCTACCTCTGCCCTGTGCTCCTGGAAACCAATGATGGTTGGGAACTCGCCTACTCTTCTATGTTTGGGAAACGACTTCACCTATGACAAGACCAGACACTGACCCCCAAATTCCCATTCTCTGTCTCTTGAGTGAGCTCTGGTCTCAGTCACAGAGCAGTGGGAGCCATGAAGAGAGCTAGGCAGAAGAGCCCATTTGTCTGGCTTACGTTTTGAGATGATCACGTTGTATGTCCTACTTCAACTCTCTTTCCACTTCACAGTCTTTAAGGTCTCAGGGCGAGTCAGCAGCGGTCAGCGTCGGTGAGATTGTAGACGAATGTGTGCTTGGATGTACTGATACCCTGTGTGCCTAAATCTTGCTACACCCAGGCTTTTTAGCTAACATTTTGTGAGTACTCTCAGTTTTTCATATCTTCCGGACACTCTGCTAAGCCCTTTACATACATTATCTTATTTAATTTTTACAACAACTCTTTAAAGTAGATACTATTAATATATTCATTTTGAAGAGGAGAAGTTAATTTGGCAAAAGGCCCACACAAGTGAGGGATAGGGCAGAGACTCACAGCTAGATGCATTCTGAGTCTGAGTCTATAAAACCTACAATTCTTCAAGTTATATATTTATATTATGTCTGTTTTTCTTGACTAGACCCTAAATTCCTAGAGGACAGGAGCTGAGTATTATTTGGATTTGAATCCCAAGCATGAGGTAGATGGTTATGGTACATGAACTTCAGCCTAGTGATATTTAGTACTCGAACCCTCCAAGAGAAATGAGGAGAAGAGTTCTGGTTGTGGGAGGAGCATGAGCTGAGGCCTAGAGTTGGAAGTGGGCGTGGCACATGGGACTGGGGAGGTGGGCAGAGCAGAGACTTGCCTGAGTGGAGCAGTGGATGCTTGTTGGCGCTGATGGAAGACAGGCTTGAATGCATTGTAGGTACCTGGTGTAGTGGTCTGCATACCTAGAAGAGGACTTGTGAGTTTTATGCTGTAGCCATTGGGGACGGGGACATTGATGGCAGCAGAGGTGAGGAGTTAAGAAGGGAAACTAGGGGATGGCAGTCTGATTCCACTGTTAGAAAGCTTCATCTTAAGAGAAGAAAAGGGAAAGCGATCTTAGCACCTGTTTACTACCAAGTGTCAGTAAACTGGATCCTCTTCTGCACAGGGCCACTCTCAGTTGTCAAGCCCTGAGAGGCATGTTAGGATGCCAGGGTCAAGGAGCTTTTGTAGCTTGTCTGATTTCATGGAGGTTGAAAGCATCGATGACAGAACTGGAGTACATATCTTCCTGACTACAAAGGGCATGTTCTTTTCAATGCAACATGCTCCCTTTGTTGGTGCTGTTAAAGTCCAGACTTCTGGAAACCAAGAGAAATTATAAATAAGTCTGTTGTATTGGTGTTTAAAAGTGAAACAAAAGACCAGGAAAATAGGTTAGAGAGATTAAAAGAAATAAGCCCATCTTTGTGGGCAGGGAAAATAAGGCCTCCCTAGAACAAGTGTCCAGAACATTTCAGCTGTCTAATAGGCATCTCAATGGTTTATGTCCAAATGGGGGGGTCTTGATTTTTTTTTGTTCCCCCAGTATGTTTTTCCCTAGTGTTCTCCATATCATAAGATGGTACCACTATCCCCCTGTGTTGATAAGCCAAAAGCTTGATAAAGAGTAGGTAGGGCCTTGCATTTGTTGGGGAAGTGGGGGCATTCCCACCCTCTTTCTTAAGGTTCTTATGGCTACTCAAATAACTAAAAAGGCAGGTTAGCAGGAGAAAATCAAACAAAGTTTAATAGCATGTGTACATGGGAGAAACTCAGGAAAAACTGAGTAGCCCAGCCATCTAGCCAAGTCTGCCTGTTTAAGTATCTTCAGCTACAGACAAGGAGGATATTTGGGGTAGTGATTTGGAGCTTCAAAGGGGAGGAAGGCAACTCACATGGAAATGGAAAAGCAAATGTTTGGTAAATAGAACTTGGATAAGAGTGGGCTTAGCATGGATCCTCCCAGTCTACTGATACCCAGAGTTATCTATGGTGAAGGCTTGTCCTGGGGACAGGCCTTGATTTTAAATTTCTTTTAAGCACTTAGGCAGGGGAAGGTGGAATATTCTTCCTGACGTCTTCTGAGTTTTTACTGTCTTCAGCTCGAAATAATCCGCATACCAGAGTGGCGCATCTTGGGGTGGCCTGCCCTGAACCCCATCAGTTCCCTCCTCTGAAACTTCCCTGGAAGTTTCACATATAAAAAGTTGAGCTGGTGACAGTTTGATTCACATAAAAGCAATGCTTTTCACCGATGACTGCACAGGCTCCTCCTTGCTGGGCATTCACTGTATCCAGAGCATGTCGATTTTGGAGGACCACAGCAGCTAGGCTGCTAATCTGTGACTGGAGTGTTTTCAAAGTTTGCATAGTGGTGTTGAACTCTTGTTCCATTACCATGGAGAGATTTAAGATCGCCTTTTCCAACTCATAATCTCCAAGGCTGGAGAATAAGACTCAATGCTGAAAAGAACTTGGAGTTGTGATACACAAGCGGATTCTCCATGATTTCCCTACTGGCATGTTTATGTGGCACAATCGTATGAGCAAAGGAACCCAGGCTTGCAGTTTGGCTGGCATTTAGGGTGGAAAAAGGATAAGGGGGTCCCTTGTGAGCTGCATCTTTAGCAGCTCTGTCAGCCCTGTCATTTCTGAAAGATATGACATCAGTCTCTTTAGTATGAGCTGAGCAATGAACAATGGCAATTTTAGAAGGTGGGTGAATAGCTTGTAGTAAGCCTGCTATTAAACATCCATTAGCAATAGGAGTTCCTGCAGAAGTTAAGAATCCACGGGATTTCCAAATTGTGCCAAGAGCATGGCAGACTCCAAAAGCATATCTGGAGTCTGTGTAAATAGTGGCATTTTTCCTTTTCCTAACATGCAAGCTCTAGTAAGAGCTATGAGTTTAGCAGCTTAGGCCAATGTTACAGTGGGCAGAGAATAAGCTTCAAGCATTTCATGTCGAGAAACTGTGGCATAACCAGTTATTATGTTTTCCTGGAAATTGCACTTATAGGAGCCATCACAAAAGGGAAGTAAGTCTGGATTGTCTAAAGGGATGTCTGAGAGATCCTCCTGTGGCTTTGAGACCATTTCTATAGTTGTAAGGCAATTGTGTGGAATGGAGCGGGGCTCTTCATCTTCAGGGAGAGGCAGTAAAGTAGCTGTATTTAAAGTGTTACAATGATGTAAGATGATGAAAGGGTTGGTTAAAAGAGCCTGCTCATGGGTAGTCTGTTGCCATGTAGAGACGTATTGGGTCTTATGTACTTGCAAAATAGTAGACACAGCATGGGGAACCTAGAAATGAATGGGAGAGCCTAATATTAAATGATGTAGGCTCGGTGAGTCGAGGAGTCAAAAGAAAGATTTCTTGGACTCTCAAGGTCTGGTAGTACTGCTCCTTTATTCAGAGAATAGCATGGAGTAGCGTGGGGACAGGACCCATGGGCAGTAAAGAGCTGCAATGGGTTGAGGGTAGGGCTAAATTTATAAGGCATGGGTATATGAGTTATTTCTTTACAAGACAAAGGAAAGATCATGAAAAAAAATCATTAAAATGGTATCAGTGCAGGTGGGGTCTGATTATTGGGTGGCCCTATAACTTTGGATAGGAATGAGGTCGGATCATGTCAGGACGTCCTATGCTTGCTAGAGGATGATCGGTGTGTAGGGCAGGATGCCTTGGGCGTCTCTCCCTGGGGCAGCCTTGATCCTCATCATCAAAGTACTGGCTTTGTCAATCAAGGTGGCAGCTTCAGCCACTGCACATAAGCATGGGGGCATACCTGATGCCACAGAGTCTAGTTGGCATGAGAAATATGCTATAGGATGTATTTAAGAGGCAAAAGATTGTCCTAGAATGCCTGCAGGAATTCCATTATTTTCATGACAGTATGGATGAAAAAGTTTGCCAAAATTAGGTAAGCCGAGAGCTGGAGGTGTGGACAAAGCTAATTTAAGGCTTCAAAGAAGGGTAATGCCTCTGATGGCCAGGGAATAGGCTCTGGAGTGATATCTGGGAGAAGAGCAGATAGGGGTTTAGCAAGGGCTGCAAAATTAGGAATCCGTTGGTGGCAGTAACCAGCTGCCCCTAGAAATTTATGTAACTGTTTTTTCATTTTGGGGAGAGGGATGGACAAAATTGACTGAAGGCATTTGGGGGTTAGCTTTTGAATGCCTTGAGATATCTCATGCCCTAAGTAGGTAACAGTTGTTTGCACACACTGAAGTTTAGATGTGGAGGTTTTCCGGCCCCATTCAGCTAGTGCCTTCAGGAGAATGAGGGAGTCTGTAAGGACTTCCTTCTTAGTTGGGTTGCAGGGTAGAAAGTCATCCACACATTGAACAAGAGTGGAGCCTTGAGTAAAGGCTACAGAATCCAAGTCAGCTTTAAGGACTTTAAGGATTGAGGGGTACTCACAATATCCCTGAGGTATGCAGGTCCATGTTAATTGTCTCCCTTTAAATGTAAATGCCAAAAGAAGTTGTGAGTCAGGGTGCAATGGGATTGAAAAGAAAGCTGAGCAGAGGTCAGTGACTGACTGTACACCAGGCGGCAGCAGCAGGAATTGAGGTCAGGATGACAGCTGGATTGGGGACTACAGGATGCTGACAAATTACAAAAGAGTTTATGGCTCTGAGGTCTTGTACAAATCTGTAGATTTGGTTCCCGTCTGAGTCGAATTTGCCTTCGTTTTTTTACTGGCAAGATTGGAGTGTTGCAGGGTGAGGAAGTAAAAACTAATCCACCCTGTTGCAAAAGGGAGTCTATTATGGGTTCGAGTCCTTGCTCTGCATGTCTGGAGAGCGGGTATTGGGCTACTGATGGAAATGGTTTATTCTTTTTCTAAGTAATGTGCACGGGTTCTGCACTAAGCAACAATCCTACCTCATTTGCATGTGTAGCCCAGAGACTAATTGGGACATTTTTTAAAGACTCATCCTCTTCAGTTTCTAGCAAGGAAAGTAGGAGACTTGACATTTGGTCAGAAGGCAAGGAGATAGAAACAGCTTTTTCATTATAATTTATAGTGGCATTAAATTTACGTACCAAATCTCTGCCAAAGAGGTTTGCTGGTGAACAGTCAGAGACCAGAAAGGCATGATGAGTGGTAAGGGGGCTTAAAGATACAGGAGTGGGCTGAGATATGGGTACTAAATAGGCTGCCCAGAAACTCCAACAGCTTGAATAGAATCAGAGGTGACAGGTAGAGATAAATCCTTCGAACAGATTTCTCCAGGGGATCGTCTGGCATGTCTGATAACTACAGCGGTAATCATGGGCAAGGACTTAATCTGCATAATAACCTTACTCTTGTTTACTGTGCTTTTCTGGTAATCTCCTGTAACTGACTTCCCCCACCCCCACATCTTCCTTTGTCTTTAGGTGAAGATAGTAGTTAAGGGAACAGCCTCCGCCATTTTGGCGAGTTACCCAGTTTCTTGGGTTTCTCCTGTGTGTACATGTTACAAAGGTTTGTTTGATTTTCTCCTGTTATTTTGTCTCATGTCAATTTAATTCATAGCCCAGCCAGAAGGACCGAGAGGGTAGAGGATTTGTCTTCCTCGCCTACAGTTGGCAACTTGGATGAGATAAAACTTCACTGGCTGGACCTTGCTCGCTCCTGGACTACCGTGGCTGAAAGATCTGGGACCCCTGACAAGAGTCAGCAGGAGGTAAAAGTTCTTACCACATCAGTCTCCTGGATGTCTGCCTGCATTGTCCAATGGAAGCAAGAGTAGTGAGTTTTTTTGTTTTTCTGAATTTAGATCAGCAGGAGAAAATATTAGTGAAGCTAGCTTCTTGGACTCAGTGACTCTAGGAAATTTGGTTGAGTACTCATTGGTTGTAGATTGTTTTCCTCCAAGAGATAGTATTTTTCTTTGTCTCTGTCTTTTTGTGTCATTCATTATAAGACGTGTACATCTCTATAAGCCTGTTGTCTGGGAATAAGCACATGAGGTAAAAACCGTTGCTAAGGGCATCTTGGAAGACAAAAAGGCTGAAAATTTGGTGGACACAGGTCAAGCTGTTAAGAGCCGCTGGGGCACTCACTACCTCAAGAAGTCTCCATCATCAAGTAATATGTTGGTCACCGAATGGGGCAAATGACACAGGTCTCCACACCAACTTCAAGAAAATGTCAGTGCAGTGACAAGTTACTCTCTAAAGCACACACGATCCCCAACCCTGCAGCTCCTCTCTCCTGGGTATTAACTTGGTGTGAGAGACCCAATGCTTAGATAAAGCTGTTAGTGTGCATCAGATGAGGCTTTTCTTTTGTATTGTTCTGTGTCTTTGGAGCTTGGCTTTGTGAACTTTTTGGTCTCTGCCATCTGGAGGATGCATGTACCACATGCATCTTGGTGGCCAGTCGAGTAGACTGGGATTCCAGGACACACTCTCTTTATCTGGCTGTGTCAGCTCTCAGAGGAGTTTGTCATAAGGGGTCCCCATTGCTTTCATTAGGGGCCTTTGTCATCTCAACCTTCGTTGCTTGTTGTGCAATGAAGGCCTTTGCTTTCTTAGACTACTTTTGGGAGTGAACTTTCTGGATGTCTTTTGGGGATGCCTCTTGCATTCATGGTTAAGCTTATTGGTATGAGTTGCTGTTAAGATCCTGCTCATCAATGTGGGCAGATGATGATTGTTTAAATTGGAAAAACTTCTAAATTGGGGAAAAAAATATGAGACCTCTCATCATAATTTTTATTGGTACCTATGAAAAGGCCAAATTAAAATGGAAATACAAAGGAAATAATGACTAGCCTTGAGACCCTGACTCAGGTTTCAATTAAATTGAGAATATGTAAAAGTATAAGTGTTGATAAGATTATGAAGGTTGGAATATTTGAGCTGATTTTATATGAAGAGGTTATATCAACTTTGCTTGAGGGTGTTCTAAAAGGTCTTACTGAGAATACTTCCCCTATCCAAAATTACAAGATCAAGACCTGTTGATAAGGTCCTAATGAAAACTATGATTAGAGGTGTAAGAGTTGATGGAATTCAAAAAAAATTTTGTAGAAAAACTGATATATTTCTGGGCTTTATATGAAGTGATTGTATTTCAGATTGTATTGTGGGGATACACATTGTGTCTCACTGGGGAAAGAGAATATTTCCCATACCTAATTGTAAGACAGCGTATAAATTGGCCCTTCAGTGTTTTGTTTTGTTTTGTTTTGTTTTTTGGTGAGGAAGATTGGCCCAGAGCTAACATCCACTGCCAATCTTCTTTTTGCTTGAGGAAGATTGTTACTGAGCTGACATCTGTGCCAGTCTTCCTCTATTTTTTGCATGTGGGACGCTGCCACAGCATGGCTTGTAGACTTGTGTATAGGTCTGCACCTGGGATCCCAACCCCTGAACCCTGGGCTGCTGGAAGCAGAATGCATGGACTTAACCACTATGCCACTGGGCCAACCCCCAGACAGTGTTAATTAAACTCACCAAAAGGAAGTCAGTAAGGTTGCCTGAGCCCACACACTATGAGATAAAAACTAGAGGCTAATATCAGGTGCTAATAAAAAAGAATAATAAAAGCTTTCCCCCCAAGGTAAATTGATCTGGGGTTAAATTGTACACTTAGAAAGAGGGCCTTTGTTAAATGTTTTGTGCAGACTTTTAAAGGTCTGATACATTGTCCTGAAAGTTTTAGAGCATGCAAATCTTTGATTCATCTCTCAAGTTAAAAATTTCCCTGATAGAAAGAAGCAATTGGAAGGGTGTAGCTGGAGGGATGGGTCAGACTCTTTTGTCAGACTGTAGTCCAGTTCTTTGTGGGACTGGAAGCAATGGTCTTTGTCTTACAAATCTCTGCAAGGCTGGAGGTATAGTTCTTGAAAGCAGTTCACCTGTCTTTTGCCAATCCCAAAGCCTCCCTTGTTCCTCAAAAGGCTCCTAGATATTGATTGAGACAGATGATTGAGACATTAGAAACAGTTAAGGCAAATATCCCCAGAAACTCCATCTTCAAGAAAACTTGACTACTTTCTGTGTGCCTTTATGATGCCGATTTTCTGCTCCATCTTTTCTAGGATCTGAGAGCCATTCTTTGAAATACAAATGTTTCTCATAAACTAGTGAGTTTTGTATTTAACCTGATTCATAACAAAAATTTAACATCTTTGTCTGTGTCTACCTGTGTGGTTATGTGTGTATATATGTGTGATATTTTACCTCCGGATCGTATGTCCAAAATTAAGAGCTGTATTTAATTGACTTAAAGTAAGCACTTACATGTAATTCAAGTTAACATGATATGTGACAAGAGGTTTTCACATGTTGCTATATATGGGATAACTATTCAGGTTCAAAACTGATTCAACTTAAACCAAGAGCCTGAATTATGTCCTGTGAAACATACATTGTGCATTCCACATATAAAGTAGAGGAAGATGGGCATGGATGTTAGCTCAGAGCCAGTCTTCCACAGCAAAAAGAGGAGGATTGGCAACAGTTAGCTCAGGGCTAATCTTCCTCAGGAAAGAAAAAAAGAATTAGAGCTAATTTTGTCTAATATCTCATGAAGTTTTCATGGGTAATATAAACACAATTGTTGGGAACAAAGATTTAGATGTAAATGAGATAGTTTAAACTTTCATCAATAATTATATTTTATGTCATGTATTTAATAACTTCCCAAAATCTCTTTAGTAATTTGAAACTCTGAAGTTTTGCTCAATCAAATGATGGAAAATTCATTGAATATCTACATTATTTCTAAATAAGATAAAATATTAGACATTAATTACTAAATATAAGTATACCTAGTTTTGTATTATTACAGAGAAACTAAGTTTGGGTTTATTGAAAAACATGCCTTGTGTTGTATTAAAAGGTTGTACTATAAAGTAACGTGTTTCTAAAATTATAAAAAGTATTTATAAAGTTTCCAAGCCACAGATTGCTAATGTAAAAGACATTTTATAATTGCTTACTTCATAGTATTTACCTAACAAGTAAGGTTTCTAAGGATTAAAAATTCTAATATGTGATTAAATCTACTAGAAATTAATAAGGAAAATATGTTCATGTTCAAAGGAAAGGAAGATATATGTTTTAAGTAAATAAGTTATAAAGAAAGAAATATTTTTGTTATTTTGTTAAGAAAGATAAATTTGTCCTGAAGTACTAGAAGAAAAAAATAAAGAGGCATGGGACAATTCTGAATGTAAAAAGAAAGCTATAGAAGATTTGTAAAAGAGGAATTCTAAAAAAGAGTTTTGTATGTGGTCAAATTGGCTAAAATTAAAATGAATTTAATTAAATAAATGAATTTTAATATCAAAATAAACTGGTACAAAATTATAATCTTTTTCCCTCTCTTAAAAGGATAATTTTCTTAAACATTAATCTGCTCTTGGTCAAGAGATTATTAAAGGTTTCTTTCTCTGAGTAGTCTATCAGAAATGTAGGGCTTTTGTGTTTTATCAAAAACAAATTTCCTATATTGTTTTAATCAGGTCTTTAATCACAGGTGCTAACGTTTTTCTTACAGCTATTAATTGTCTGCATTTGCCTAAACTTCCTTAACTGTCACCATGGTTAAATGCATAACTAAGCATTGTCTCATAGAGACCTGTGATATTGTGTAATTAAATGTTATTGATGTAAGTATTTTAAAAATTGTATAACATTCCAGAAAATTCTAATCTGCCCTGATTGTCAGTCATAGTTCTAATTACTATCTTCATGTGTTGTATGTCACATAAATAACTAAAACAGAAATAAATAAAATAAATAAAAAGTAAATAACAGAAAAAGAATTAATTGCATGGCACTGCAGGAACTGATAAGGATGATTATAATTTTTATGAATTTTGTTTGAAATATTACTATTTTAATCTTTTCTTTTGTACATCTTTCCTTTAAAAAATGAGGCTGATTTTAGAGAGAAAAACTATGTTTCAGTAGAAAATATAACCAACGTTTGTGTCGATTAGATTTCAGTGCTGTTAATTTTCTTTGAACTTCTATTATTTACCTAAACACTGGACTGGATCCTAAATTCTTCCTGTTTCCTCCAGTACCCAGCTACAACTCTCTAAATGAACATTTCCAACTTTTCTGCCATTTTTGACTAGGAATCATTGAGAACTAAAGTGACCCTTTTTACTGAAGCCCTGCAAAGTGAAGCTGAACAACTCTATATAAACTTGCAAGATCACCACAAGAGCTCACATTCAGTCAGTCTTTGTGCCTATTGCTGTGTAAGCTTCTCAGAAAGTTTGCTTGAACACCCAATGACATCATCAGAGACATTTCAAACTGCAAAAGATGCTTCAACCCTGACATCTAGAAACCTTGATTGGCTGCTACATAAACACAGAAACTAGTTTATACTTTGCTGCAGCCATTAACCTTTGTTTTTCTTTGTTTCCCTAAAAATGCCTCTTATTAAATATCTTATTCCTTGCACAATAGACCTAACTTTGTGAACCCACTTGCCATAGCCACTTCCTGCAATGAGACAGAACTATGTAACTGAACAATTTTCAAAACTAAAAGATTAATTCAATGAAATAATGGAACATTTTACCAGCTCAACTTTTAATACATGAAACTTCCAGGGAAGTTCAGAGGAGGGAGTTACTGGGGCCTGGAACTGTTTTGGGTCGGTTGCTGCAAATATCTCACAATGACTATTTGACCTAAACTTACTTAAGACACT